CGAAAGGTCATCTATAATCATTGAAGTCAACCTTGAATTGGGAGACATGCAGACATGTATTTCAGTAGGTAGACAACATTTATTAACTTACTGTAGCTGCTATAATTAAAAATAATTTTTTACTATCACATAAACTTTGTAGATTGAAATATTTGTTTCCCTTGTCTGACTCTGCAACACAGGATGAAATGCAGGACTCTATCTCTTAGATGAGCTGATTATTTTGTAAGACAATCATATTGGCTTGTTGTTGATATTCCAAAGTAGACAAAAAAGTTGCATGTTTAATTTTTATGCGGTGTAACTGCAAACTCTACCTCCTACTTCAGCTCTCATTCTTCAGCTTGGGTTGTGACTGAAAATGGCTGTGATGCCATAGGATAGCTAATTGGTAAAGCCTGTTTGGAATGTTGGTAAGTGAACCATTTTGGCAGTTAGCAGAGTAGTAAAGAGCACTCTTTTCCCCTTAGTTGACTCCCAGGCTAAAATTAAACAGAGTCAGAGATTTCCACATTTAGTGATTTACAATGCATCTGTTCTGAGTCAACTAGCAGAAAGAACTAATGACCTATATACTTTTATAAAAAAAGAACTCTTCATTTGGGTGTAATATGCAGATCTGCATTTTTATAGTATGCCTTAGTGGAAATGCCCTTCAAAACAGGAAGATAATAAGTAAAAAGATTTTTTCCTTCTTTCTGTTAAAGTAATTGGACACTAAATTAATTATGCTAACTCAACCTCTATCAGCATGTGCTTATCATTCACATGTCCTGAAACATCTAGGAGTCATGAGCAAAACGCTAAAATAATTCATGGTGCAGTTTATATAGCAAGATGGTGTAATGTTTTCTTTAGTTACTTAGTTACTAAAAATAAACAAAACTTGTCAGAATTAGTTTTTATTGTTGCTCATTCCCTTTGTTCATATTTGTGATCCCTCCCAGATAGAAAGTGTAACTGTAACTTAAACTTCAGTGTCCAGTAAAGGTTTTTCAGTTCATTTTATAGGGGAATATCTAAAATGTTTTGCTGAATGTTTTTACTGGAAATAGCAATATAGATGTGTTTGGATACTGCATACACACAGAGCAGAATTTAGAAAGAATTCTACCAGGATAATCCATTCCTGTTGCAGAGATAAAATACATTTTTTTGCATGTAAATAGCAAGGCTGCTTCGCAATATCTGGTGCATCATAGTATTGTTTTTTTTTTATTGTTGTTGTGTTAAATATTAAATATTGAGTTTCAATTAGTAAATTTGAATGAATTATTATTGTCTGCTATTCCTAGTAATTTTCTTTCACCAAGACATTGGGAGTGACTGAGTAATGCAAAGTTTACTCTTTCACAAGGTTCTTACACCTCCAAAAAGACAGCTGTTTTTGTCAAGTGTTACCACCTCCCTTTTCCTTTCCAAAGCACTCATTCACCTCTGCATTCCTCTTTCACTACTATTCTGCTGCCTTCATCCTTCTCTTCTGTCTCTGTGATATTTGAAGCCCTTTCCCATTTTTTCATTGCTGTTGAGCATCTCTCAGCACCACCACTCTGCTGCTCAACACTGCCTCTTTTCCCCTCTCCTGCCTTTACCTCTGGCCTCTTTTCTCTGCAGCTGCATCCCCCAGGTGTCCTCTTCTGCCTCACCAGAAGTGCACCGTATTCTCTTTTTGTCTCACGTATTACATGCTTGAATTTCCCTTTTGAAGGAGAGGGTAGGGCTAGAGCCCCAGGTTGGCAACCCCTCTGCTCTCTGCTCCTCCAGCAGCCTTTCCTCAGCACTCAAGGTGGGAGGAGGTAATGGCAGAGCCAACCCAAGTGCAGGAGGCCACAGGTTATTCTCTGTGAGCCCCCTGGTCCCTTGGGAAGATGAATTCTGTTGCTGCAGCTGTCATCATCCAAGGAAGCTTGTCAAGAAGTTTGTCCGCAGGATGAGAGTGCCAAGCACAGCTGTGCTCTGCTGCCTCCTGTTCATCCTCCTCTGCTGCCTGCCTGCAGCCTCCCCTTGGCTTGTTCCTTCAGGAAAGAGACAACAGTTGGAGAGGAAAGAAATTATTTGCCCAAACTGTGCCTGGCAGGTGACACCATGACTTTGAGGAAATTCTTAAATGTTAAAAGGTTATGTGCTGTTGGGTTTGATTCTTATTTTTCAAATAATTTACTAGATAGATGTAATAGATAACTCTGGCAAGAACCAGGATCTGGAAAGGAAACCTAGTATGGTATGGGACTAAGGTCTGTTTTTTTCTGAAATGTTAATTTAATTAAAAGGAGAGAAGGGGAGGGGAGAAGTCTTAATGAAATCCAGGAAACGCAAGCATTGCATTTTGTCAGAGAGAAAATAGCAATTTTTTTTTTCTTAGATGTGTAAGGAGTCTGCTGTCAGCTTACAGCTTGGTCCTCACATCAGTGAGATCTTCCTTGAAAACTGAGGGGGATTCTTATTTCCTGCCATGAAAACACGGCTTTTTTTCTGGGGGGAAGGCAAATTGAGAATTTTTTTCTTTGACTACCTAGTTATTTATTTTGAAGACAGCTGTTACACAGAAAACAACTTTACATAGGTGATTAAACTGTTCTTCATAAATAGTGGCTGAGTAGCAAATACGGCAGTAAGTTTCAGTAATTCAGTGTGACAGAGGTGGCTTGGTAGTAGGCCAAAGTTACCTGACAGTCATATTGAAAGGCAAATAATTTAATTGCTTATCTGACTACTTGTACTATTTTTTTTTCTCCCAGACACAAGCTGTCAATGACAAAAGACAACTGGAAAAATAAACTATTTTGCTCTCTGTTCTACCTTAATTTAAAGTTTTATGGCATCATGCTCATGTGACTTTGCTAAAGTTCAAAGCATGACCTAATTGTATTGAACTTCTTAGTTTTAGCTTATTTTTTGCACGAAGCAAGAAACTACATTGAGTACCTAGCATCATGTGCTACAGTAACACTTTTTTTTTTTTCTTTTCTTTTCAGGAGTCTGTTATAAATGTGGGATTTTTTTTGTTGACTTTGGCTGTAGGCTGACTTTATTTGTCACTTTTTGGGAGGTCTCTGACTCCTACTTGTCATATCATATATACATTGAAGCTTTCATTAAGTATTGCTGACAACAGGCGCTATCTCTTAAAGATGTAGGATTCTCTTATTTTGACATCCAAATATCTTATAAAAGCTAATGATTGTAGCATGTATTTTATCGATTCTCTGTTTCCTTCTGCTTCTTTTTTTCTAGTCTCTTCCAGATCCTGCTGCAAGGCGTATTCACTGCTCTTCTTACTTGCATATTACCCCTTTATGTTCAACATCGGCTTTGCCTTAAATTGCAGATTTATTTCTAAGGTTTATTACTGACATTTAAAACCATCAGATCACATAGGCAAGTCTGTGTATAGGAGTTCCTCACAGTGTGTGTTCCAACTTCAAGCCTGTACTAGGCAGATGATTTATCTTTGTGTATTTCTTGACTGCCATTTTCCCATTATACTCGTCAGACTTTCCTTGCGTTGCCCCAGGTTGGTGGGTCTTCTGCCACTTGGAATTCAGCTGGTTTTAAAATTTTGTTATATACAATAAACTTTACGGTTTACAGTTTTGGTGACGTGTTGCGTGTTTTGAGGCATTTGTTTTTGCTGGCTTTTGGAAAGTACATTGAATTGTGTGTCAAACTTTCTGAATTTATTTGAATTCATTATTAAATTCAGATTGCTGCATAATTGTATTGTATGCTACACAATAAATATCACAGTGTATATTGCTTTAGGAACTACGATTCTTTGAATTATAGAACTACTGTAATTCTCTGTAACTTGGTGTTGAGACCTTCCAGTAACCAGGATTTCTATTGTGAATTTATTTCATTATTTATTTCATTTATTTATTTGTTGTAAAATTGCAGAACTTCTGTGAAAATATAACTGCCTATTATTAGTTGCACACTTTTTCAGTATAAACAATACCTTTGTATTATATTAATCCATTTGCTTCTGAATTTTAGAGGTCTTTATAATTAAAGTTCTACTGCAACAGATACTTTATCTGCACTATTAAAACAAAAGCCTCACTGAATTAATGCATCATCAGATTTTTAATGCAGGTTTAATGGAAACAGTGTTTCATAAATTGGATTTTAGTGTGCTTGGCTTGAAGTATATGCTAATATTTCTGGATACAGAGAGTAATTTTTCCTTATTTTGAGATTTGATGTTTCACATGTAAATTTTTATTCACAAGCATAAGAAAACTAGATGTTTACCTTTAAGAAAATACAGATATAAAAACCTGATCTTGAAATCCTAAGACTTCAAAAATGAAATTTAAAGAAAATAAGATACATTGTAAAACTTAGGCTAAAATCCCCAGAGCTCACGGTATGGAGACTGCCAATGCTCGCAGAGTTTAAAAAAATTACCTTATTTTTACCTAACTAGTCCACTAAAGAGTATTCATAACCACATTTACATGAAAAATTATAATCCTGAGCAGCTTTGAGCAGAACACTAACGTAAAGTAGACCTATCTTTATTAAAAGAACCCACTGTCATAGACCACGTTTTTCTTTATTGAGGCTGGGGGGAGTCATGCATTATATTCTCTTTCTGTCAAGGGTCTTCTTGACTCATTTCTTGCATAGTGTTATTGTTGGCTGAAAATCTGAGGAAAGGTGTTGTGTGTATTCAATTACACGCACAACTCTGTGAAAACAAGCATTTTTCTTGGCAAAAAATTGTAATAAGCAAAATCAAAATGCCATTGTCTGCATTTTTGTGTGTATGTCCATAGCACTGGCAGAACTAGCAAGTTTCTCACTTTCAAGGAGTTACTGAAGTTTACATTTTAATTATTACTTTTGATTGGAATTTCAAATAAATATATACTTAATTCCAATCCAAACAAAAGTCTGCATCAAATATGCTTTGTGTGCCAGGAAAAATGGATACCTATATGGCGATTCTTTAGCAAATAGTTTACTTTTCTTTTCTTTTCTGCGGTGTATAGGTGCAGTCCTCTTGTCCAGTGTACAAGGATTAGCAATTAATGTTGATCCAGTCCTGTATACTTGGCTTGTCTACCAACCTCAGAAACGAACTAGTAGACACATTCAGCAGGTACGTATTTTTGGAGGGAAAGGAGTGGTGAGGGGAAACTTTTTATTCCATGTATGTCAGTAGTGCATTCTTGTTCCACATATTTATTTTTTTTTGTCACCCTGTTCTTTGTAGTTTGCTGCTCATACTGTTGATCTTATTTGAATTATTTAAAATGTTAAGTTTTGCATATTAAAATTTTAATTTCACAATGTTTTGATTTATAATGTTTTCTTAAAAGAATAGAGAGAATGTTTTTTGGTGGTCACTGTTCAGAATCAGTATTTTGCAACTAGTTTTAATTGCTGCGACCTCATAAACTTCCTGACTCTGAATAATAATCAGTTTTTAATCATTTGGTCTACCCAATAATTGCATAATTCATTATAAAATCACTACTCTTATTAAAACCTATTTTAATAGGAGATGAACCACACAGTTCAGAACTTGACAGAAGTGAATGCTGTAAGAGATTCTGTTATGTCAAAATACACACTTGCATACAAAATGCTCAGAAAAGATACAAGAAGACTGTAGGTCTGTGTAGCACATTGTAACACATTGTTTTCTTTGACATATTCTTGACCTTAATTTTCATGCCTCATGCTCCTGACCTGGCAAGAACACAGGTTTTGCTTAATTTTTAAACTTATTTTTAACTATTGTTTGGCAGACCAGCAGAATATTCTAAAGCTTAAATTTGTCACAGTTGATCAAACTAGTGGTCTGTGTAGCCTCATGTTCTGTCTCAGTTGTAAGTCGTCAATTATTAAGAGGCCAATACAAAATATGAGTTATTATTCATTCCTGTATCATAACTGGAGCACTGCAACATTTCCTGGTATACCTCTTTTTTTAAAACAGACCATTTAATTACGTTTACAATACTGTTATGTAACCTTCTAAAATGTAATTGAGCCTGCTCATTTCAAATGTTCATATAAAAGCCTTTCCTTATCATTAATGCATGTAATCAGCTCTTTTGATTACCCTTGTGTACTGAGTGATTAGAAAGCTTTAGTGACTACATTAGGAAACTTATCTGACTATGGTTTTGATCACCAGTGGCAAAATTTTTAACCAAATTTTGATTAAGTAGTTATTTTGTAATTTGTGTCATTACCTTATACAGCCTTTTAATTTTTTTTGTCATATATTTCTAATTAAAATTACTGTATCATATTTCTAATGTTATTAGCATTTAGAGTAGTGTAGTTTTTTGAAACTATTTTAAATGGGATTTATAAACCTAACTGTCGACATCATACTAGTTTCACCATTAATGTAACTGTGGTAATAGACTGCACATAATAATAAATACTACAATGTCTGTAGTAGTCATGAAGAAGCTTTATTTGAAAAGAAAACTATATCTTTATTAGACTTTCCCTAAAGACTTTTTTCTTTGCATAATACTGTAATTATCCTAGGATAAGGATTCTAGTCAAAGTTATGGCCTTGTATATTACTTATTGGAAGAGGTTTAGCTTATTACCATAGTCTAATTTGTACAATAAAACAAAATGCTCTGTAAAACCTTCATAATTTTTGAACATTTAATGGAAGAACCGTAAGACATAATGCTTTCAGGCAAGTGTTACGGTCAAGATATTATTGATTGATAAAGCTCTTTTTTTCCTCTATTGTAACTGTCAGTCTTATACAACTGCAACAGAAGAAAAGAAAATACATAACTTCAGAAGTTGCTTCTATGATTCAGTGATCTTAAGTGTTAAGATACTTTAAATTTTGATGTCTACTTAATACAATTTTTTGCTCTGTCATTTTAAGTAAGTAAAAATTGTGAGTTTTATCTCAAAACACGGAGTCAGAAAATATTTCAGTACATTTGTTTCTGTGTATGCATTCTATCAAGTAATAACATAAGCCAATTCAATAAATTAAATCAAATTACTAATTTATTTGGGGCCGCAATTATAGCTGTGTAAACTTCTGTTTGCATACAGGATAGGGCTGGGATTGTCTGGGTCCCCACAGGGACAGGTATGCCTTTACATACCAGAACTACTTCAGATTTGTTTGCCTTTTAACTATTACTCTGGGATTCTTAGGTTTATAAGTACGCTTATTTTATATCTTTACTGAAATACTCACTATGTGTAATGAAAATACTCATTATGTGCAATGTAACTGTTGTTGTGGTATTTTCTGAAAGAATGAAAAGTTAGAAATATCAGAACATACTTAACTTCCTAAGCTGAAGTGTAGTATCTAGTACACTATGTCACATGTCCTGATATGTTCTTAGATGGTGTCTGAAAAATGTGATTAATGATAAAAGAAGATTTTAAAAGCCTGACTAAAGGTAAACATTAAGAGGAGAAGCTATTGGAATTAAAAGTTAAGTTTGGCACAATAATCAGTTAATATAAACAGATTCTTCATACATTTAGGCTAGTATTTTAAAATCTTGAGTATTAAGACTACATTAAAGTTTTTTGCTGCTTCTGTTATCATTCGAGGAAATTTTCTAACTTGTTTCTATATGGAATTTTAGGAACAATAAGTATGACAACTGTTTGCAGGAGAAGGGGATTGGACTTTTAGTGTTTATCTAAAGAAAACGTTAGAATTCAGAAATTCACTTAATGTACAACCCTTCTACATAGGTTGTTTCTGTACAGTGTGCAAGTTACATACATCATGAGAGGGAATCTTATCAATGTCTATAAATATGTGAAATGCAGGGGCCAAATGGATGGGGCTGGGCACTTTTCTTTATATTACCCAGTGGCAGGACAAGGGGCAATGGGCAAAAACTGGAACACTGAAAGTTCCATACAAACTTAAGGAAAAATTTCTTTACAGTGAGAGTGACAGAGCACTGGGACAGGCTGCCCAGAGAGACTGTGGAGTCTCCATCTCTGGAGACATTCAAACCCCACCTGGACACTTTCCTGTGCAACCTGGTATAGGAAACCTGCTAGATGATCTCCTGAGGTCCCTTCCAACCCCTACCATTCTGTGATTCTGTCATCATTCTTCCTCACGTTTATTTTGAACTAACTTGGATTTAAAAAAATGAAAATTTGGAAATAGAACTAGTCTTTAAGGCTTCTGCTTTTTCTTTTTTTTTTTAAATACAGTGGAATATTTGGTGCCAGATGCTTTCAGTAAATGGCATTGTAGTGTATTACCTTTTTGTTGCACAGTGACAGTGCATGTCAAAATGTTGCTGCTGTTACGTATTTGAATAATGATCTGTGTGGTTGCTGTTGTGGCTCTATGGTCAATGCTCTAGGGTAAATGGGTGTAAATATAACTTGTTTTTCTCTATCCATTCTGAATTTCAACATCCATCTGTAAGTTTTCAATTGTCCCTTTTGAAGCACAGAAACAATGAGAACCTTGCAATTTAAAAATCCATGAGGTGCTCTCTCAGTGCTTCAACAAGTCTGCATTTGCTTTTGAGTTTCTCATGGCTACTAAGATATATGTGGAGTAGTTACTGTAGTTTGCCCAGTAGTGTAGGGACAAGGTCAGGAAGGCCAAGGCGCATCTGGAGCTGAACTTGGCAAGGGATGCCAAGGAAAACAAGAAGAACTTCTACAGGTATTAACCAGCAAAGGAAGGTTAAAGAAAGCATACCCCATTGATGAGCAACAAAATTGATCTAGTAGCAACAGACAAGGAGAAGGCTGAGGTTCTCAACAACTTTTTTGCGTCAGTCTTCACTGGCAACCTGTCTCCTCACAGCTCTCAAGTTGATGGCTCACAAGACAGGGACTGGGGAGACAAAGTCCTTCGCACTGCAAGAGAAGATCAGGTTTGTGACCATCTGAGGAACCTGAACATACACAAGTCCATGGGACCTGATGAGATGCATCCCAGAGTCCTGAGGGAATTGGCTGATGCAGATGCCAAGCCACTTTCCATGATATTTGAAAAGTCACGGCAGTCAGGTGAGGTCTCTGGTGACTGGAAGAAAGGAAACATTATACCCGTTTTTAAAACGGGTAGAAAGGAAGACCCTGCGAACTACCAACCTGTCAGCCTCACCTCTGTGCCTGGGAAGACCATGGAACAGATCCTCCTAAAAGCTACGCTGAAGTACATGGAGGGGATTCAAGACAGCCAGCATGGCTTCCCTAGGGGCAGGTCCTGCCTGACCAGCCTAGGGGCTTTCTACAATGGAGTAACTGCATCAGTAGACAAGGGAAGAGCTATGGGTGTCATCCATCTGGATTTCTGCAAGGCCTTTGATAGAGTCCCCCACAACATCCTTCTCTCTAAGTTGGAGAGATATGGATTTGATGGGTGTACTGTTCAGTGGATAAGAAATTGGCTGGATGGTCGCATCCAGAGGGTAGTGGTCAATGGCTCAATGTCCAAATGGTGATCAGTGACAAGTGGTGTCCCTGAGGGGTCCATAGTGAGACCAGTGCTGTCTCTTAATTAATGATATTGACAGTGGGATTG